CGCCCTCTTGAAAAAATTCCCAGTTTGGAAAGCAGCATTCATGTCAATATATGAATTTGTAAAAGATTTCTATAAATTCCATCTGATTGTAGTTTAGTTTCTATCATGCTTTCGAAAATTATTATGAAACGATCAAACATTCAATTCAGACAGTGAGCTTGACTATGTTAGTTCAGTTGGCTATCAGTCGAAATCGGTCAAACCAATCACAGTAAGACAAAAATTTAAACGAACCAATTACACGATAGCAAGTGGACTCCCTTATAGGTCCGGCCACCCCGCTTATCGGTCGAGATTATTCCAGATCGTCCACTGATCTGGCTATTGACCAATGAAATAAGCGTTTTTGGCGTTCATAGACTCCTTTATCCGTTGAACCAGTCAAGCCACCCCGCTTATCAGTCGGTTATTTCAGGTCAATTAAAATTCAACTGATCTGGTTACCAAGGAGATATTCATTGGATTAGTCATTAGTTTTCAATAATAAATAAAGCTGGATTTTTATCACGAAGTAAATGTGATAATAAAATAAGAATAATTAATGAATTTTTAACTAATATCAATAGATAATGTTTGAGTTTCAAACATCAGTCGCGCGACGGATTTGACATACTCTAGATCCGCCCCTGATCGAGAGAACATGTTTCCTTCAGCGATGGCTTATGGACAGTATGTCGAATAATCTACAAAACTTATATCGATTTTACATATGACAAAAGAAAATTAACATAAACAATCGTAAACTTACTTGTCTTGGCTTTCGATCGGTTATTTTGTCCTGTAAAGGCTGAAACACACTAGGCAGTCGCTTTAGTCGCGCGTCTAAAACTACCGCTTTGCGTGGTTACTAAGCTAGTAGCGTAGTCGCGTCAGCTAGTCGCTTTGAAAGTTCAACATGTTGATTTTTTGACTTTGGTCGCTTCAGTCGCTTTACACTGATTGGCCAATAGATACATTTTAACTTCCTAAATGCATATCATATTTCTTGTCATAAGCATCATACGAAATTTATGGATTATACCTTGGAAAACGAAGGCAATATATAGTGAATTCACACTGGAATCTTTCAGTTTTTATATGACTTATCAAATAGGGACAATAGGAGCTACAAACTGGAACCCTAATGCACAACCTAAGTGCGCAGAATAAGATTATCCACAATATACGCGTAATGGCGTATGGACTATGATCATATTGGCGTGTTTTAACTGGCTTGTTCTCTTTTCTCCTCATAGTAGTTTGTACTGAGTAAATATTCATATATTAGTAGCTATAATAAAGGCCAGAATAAAAAGTTTAAGTGATATCTGTGTCTGTAACAAACTAAAATCACCGTCATGTGCAATAGACGCCACGGTAAAAGCAGTGAGATGGTCGCTGCATGTGTGTTTCTAGCGTTCAAGCGACTGACGCGTGCGCATCAATTCGCTTTGGACGCGCGGCTGAAGCGACTGCCCAGTGTGTTTCAGCCTTAATGGTTCAGGAATCCCAGCCACGTCAATGGTTGGGATAGCATCTTTCTTCAACCTTTTGTTGAACTTGACTTGCACGCTCAAATTAAGGTCAAAACAAGAATCTTCAAAATGTGCAGAACACAGACACGAGGTAGAGGAAGCCTCAAAACCCGGTCTATGTTTACGCACAAAATTTACCCATTTTCTATGTCTTTGTGGCTCTGCTTCTTTTTTAGGAAACAGATGCATCGACATTCCTTCGATTTTTGAATCATTGGCGCAACTAATTTGATTACGTCCGCCAGCAATACAGCGTTTTCCTCCGCGTTCCTTATTAAGATTACTAGTAGAATACGCCATGTTGATATATGTGTTGACCTTTCTACGTCACAAGTCATTAGCATACCGATCAAAAAGTTCGCAAAAAAATGCTGAAAATCGTGACTTTGAACGTCCGTAAAATCACTTTCACCAATCCAATTTCAATTATAATTGCAGATTTAAAATCACTGAAACAAGGTCTTTCAACTTAGCTAATAAAAAAGGGGGGCTAAAATTCGTAATATATACACTTTAAGAAAACAAAAATTATGCCAAAAATATATGATTGAAAATTTGCTCAGCGCATCTACAAGCATCAAATTCAGAGCTCGCTCTGTCACAAATTTAATTGAGAATTGATCTGAGCATGCGTACTCTCCAAGTTCATCGTAAAGGCAACGAAAAACTGGATGTACTATTAAGGTGCTGTAACACGATGTGATTTTTTTTGGGAACGTACGACTAAAAACATGAAAAAATTTCAAAAATTGCAAGTTGCTTGAAGGTGATACACGACGCCAATGATTACGCAACTTGCGATAAAATTCGAAAAATCGCAAGTTGCTTGAAGGTGATACACGACGCCAATGATTACGCAACTTGCGATAAAATTCGAAAAATCGCAAGTTGCTTGAAGGTGATACACGACACCAATGATTACGCAACTTGTGATAAAATTCGAAAAATCGCAAGTTGCTTGAAGGTGATACACGACGCCAATGATTACGCAACTTGCGATAAAATTCGAAAAATCGCAAGTTGCTTGAAGGTGATACACGACGCCAATGATTACGCAACTTGCAATAAAATTCGAAAAATCGCAAGTTGCTTGAAGGTGATACACGACGCCAATGATTACGCAACTTGCGATAAAATTCGAAAAATCGCAAGTTGCTTGAAGGTGATACACGACACCAATGATTACGCAACTTGCGATGAAATTCGAAAAATCGCAAGTTGCTTGAAGTGATACACGACGCCAATGATTAAGCAAATTGCGATAAAATTCGAAAAATCGCAAGTTGCTTGAAGTGATACACGACGCCAATGATTAAGCAAATTGCGATAAAATTCGAAAAATCGCAAGTTGCTTGAAGTGATACACGACGCCAATGATTAAGCAAATTGCGATAAAATTCGAAAATCGCAAGTTGCTTGAAGTGACGACGCCAATGATTAAGCAAATTGCGATAAAATTCGAAAAATCGCAAGTTGCTTGAAGTGATACACGACGCCAATGATTAAGCAAATTGCGATAAAATTCGAAAAATCGCAAGTTGCTTGAAGTGATACACGACGCCAATGATTAAGCAAATTGCGATAAAATTCGAAAAATCGCAAGTTGCTTGAAGTGATACACGACGCCAATGATTACGCAACTTGCGATGAAATTCGAAAAATCGCAAGTTGCTTGAAGTGATACACGACGCCAATGATTAAGCAAATTGCGATAAAATTCGAAAAATCGCAAGTTGCTTGATACACGACGCCAATGATTAAGCAAATTGCGATAAAATTCGAAAAATCGCAAGTTGCTTGAAGGTGATACACGACGCCAATGATTACGCAACTTGCGATAAAATTCGAAAAATCGCAAGTTGCTTGAAGGTGATACACGACACCAATGATTACGCAACTTGTGATAAAATTCGAAAAATCGCAAGTTGCTTGAAGGTGATACACGACGCCAATGATTACGCAACTTGCGATAAAATTCGAAAAATCGCAAGTTGCTTGAAGGTGATACACGACGCCAATGATTACGCAACTTGCGATACAATTCGAAAAATCGCAAGTTGCTTGAAGTGATACACGACGCCAATGATTACGCAACTTGCGATAAAATTCGAAAAATCACAAGTTGCTTGAAGGTGATACACGACACCAATGATTACGCAACTTGTGATAAAATTCGAAAAATCGCAAGTTGCTTGAAGGTGATACACGACGCCAATGATTACGCAAATTGCGATAAAATTCGAAAAATCGCAAGTTGCTTGAAGTGATACACGACGCCAATGATTAAGCAAATTGCGATAAAATTCGAAAAATCGCAAGTTGCTTGAAGGTGATACACGACGCCAATGATTACGCAAATTGCGATAAAATTCGAAAAATCGCAAGTTGCTTAAAGTGATACACGACGCCAATGATTAAGCAAATTGCGATAAAATTCGAAAAATCGCAAGTTGCTTGAAGGTGATACACGACGCCAATGATTACGCAACTTGCGATAAAATTCGAAAAATCGCAAGTTGCTTGAAGGTGATACACCAATGATTACGCAACTTGCGATAAAATTCGAAAAATCGCAAGTTGCTTGAAGGTGATACGACACCAATGATTACGCAACTTGTGATAAAATTCGAAAAATCGCAAGTTGCTTGAAGGTGATACACGACGCCAATGATTAAGCAACTTGCGATAAAATTCGAAAAATCGCAAGTTGCTTGAAGGTGATACACGACACCAATGATTACGCAACTTGTGATAAAATTCGAAAAATCGCAAGTTGCTTGAAGGTGATACACGACACCAATGATTAAGCAACTTGTGATAAAATTCGAAAAATCGCAAGTTGCTTGAAGGTGATACACGACGCCAATGATTAAGCAACTTGTGATAAAATTCGAAAAATCGCAAGTTGCTTGAAGGTGATACACGACACCAATGATTACGCAACTTGTGATAAAATTCGAAAAATCGCAAGTTGCTTGAAGGTGATACACGACGCCAATGATTACGCAACTTGGGATAAAATTCGAAAAATCGCAAGTTGCTTGAAGGTGATACACGACGCCAATGATTACGCAACTTGCGATAAAATTCGAAAAATCGCAAGTTGCTTGAAGTGATACACGACGCCAATGATTAAGCAAATTGCGATAAAATGTAAAAAATCGCAAGTTGCTTAAAAAAATCGCATTGTGTAACAGCACCTTTAACGATTATAGAGTATTAATCCCACTCTGTCACAAATTTTAAGTAAATCATCAGCGCATGCGCAGTCTGCTTGGGCATGGTGATGGTCAAGGCAACAACCCAACAACAACTGCATCTACTAGCACCGATTTTGAAGTAATTAGCATGCTTCGTAACAATATAATAGAGAAATCATCTGCGCATGCGCTCGAGCAATGCGCAGAAAAACCTTTCACTGCGCGGTAAAAAATTTTGATGACACAATTTAATATACGAACATTAAAAAAATTCAAAGCGTTTTTATTGTTCAAGGAGATCCATCCCATCTCCATATAGTACCATTATCGCAAACACAAAGTAAAACACTGAAAAGAAATATGTAAACAGGACAATAAATATTTCATGGTTAATTCATTTAAATTCTCTGAGTAATTTAGCAAAGTTTGTTCAAACGTTAAATATTATCTTCGCAAATTATTTACCATCCAATCATAGTAGACTTTGCTCTAAAAAACGTGACAATTTACAAGGTGTAAATACTGTGAAATCAACTGTAAAATCCCGCAAAAAACTTTTTCTTAATGACCAATGAACGAAAACGGTCACTTTCAATTTCGCGTTGGAAATGGGCTCTTGGTAGATAAATGAAAAATGTGCCACAGGAAAACAAATAGTAAAATATCTTCGCAAAGTGGAAGTTTTAATGAGAAAAACATGTTATTTTATCATTATGAAAATGTTATCTATGTTCTTTTCACATGCTTTCCTTGACTTTGAAAAATGTTTAAAAAACAATAATTTTACATGGGTAAACAAAGAAATTTTTCCCGTGAGATGAAACGTAACATGTAAAATTTACCTTCCATCTTTACTAAATGATGTTTGTCGAACGGCTGCTGTACATTTAGGATGAGAGAGAACTTTCTGCCTGCGTGGGAACTAAACAAATAAAATTGCGTTAAGATGATGTATGTTGTTACCATTGAACATGGAACGCTACCTGAAGCAAATAATTAAAGCCAGATCTTACATCCAGACACGTGAGATTACACCAAGACATGCGTGTTTAGTGTTTCGAGATTCTCTCGCGAAGTGAAAATTGATTAACTACACATGTCCCCCAGAGTCCTTGTCATCACCAGGACCATCCACTTGAGACATACGTAAAGGTGGTTTCCAGCCCAATTCCTCTTCATCCTCCGAACTGCAAGTGAAGAAGACAGCTACTCAAAACTTTAGAGAAGATTTAAATATTGATTGTTTTTCATGTAAGATGTTTACAGTGTTTGCACAGAATTATGAAAACCAAGGAGACCTTTGGGAGAACTCGATCATTGATGACCAGAGTCAAAGGCTTGCACCTGCTCCAAAGTTCTCACAAACGTCTCCAAGGTTTGCATAAGCCTGTGTAAACACGAAAAACTTCTTTTACTTCTTTTATAAAACAACGATAATACAAAACAGGCAAATTTTAAGCAAATGTTTTAATTTTTCCTGTAACATGTATTAATGATTGATTTGGAAATTCTCTTTCATTGATTTTAATTCATTGAGCTCAGATAGGTTTGCTCATGCCAAGTTAGCTAATGTTAACTCAACTATAGACAAATCAACGCACGCATTTTTCGGTCTTTGTTTTATAAACAAAAATGGATACTTTACCTTTGGGAATCATGTTCCTCTTCATCATCTTTCCAAAATGGCTGTGACATTAATATTGATTCTTTATCTTCATCAATATCTTCATCATGTTCATCATCACTACCTTATCAATAAACAATAAAATAAAAAAGATTGATTGAAAAACTTCATATAAGACAAATTTTAATAAACATAAATGCAACTGTACACAATCACCATTGATATCCATGTCTAATTATGGTAGTTTTGATCTCAATACAATATTCATATAATGGAGTGTTGAGTCTTACTTTATGAGCCCGCAAATGGAGAACATTCATGGGGCAGTGTTTCATTGTCATCCTTATCCAAACTCATTAAAATCTCCACCAATTCTTTATCCAACTCTCCAGCTAAATAAATGTCTTATATTAATAAAAATTCGAACCCTTGAGAGAGAAAGAATTATTTTTAGTGAATAATACATGAATTGCTGCCCTGGCTGGCTTGTAGTACATCTAGTTTTCTTATGCAACCGCGTGGTATAATTATAATGAATCAACCAAAAATGCTCTGGTACACGAATAATTGTCAATAGAAGCTAGCTTTCGAATTCACTCACGTGTTATGAATTAGCCAACATAGATTCAAGTGCACAAGTTTACGAGTAACAATCAATAAAATTCCAGTTTTAAACACAACTGCTGTGATTGAACACCCAACGGAAGGTAATTATTTATTAACTTTCTGAAGTGAATTAAGAATAAATATACTTCAACTCTTGTTTTAAACAAAAAGGTATGTTGAGTTTTTCAACGTTATTATAAGACACAAACGCTTTGACTGTGAGTAAACACAATGTTTTTAAATCGTAGACAACGGGCAACTTCCAGAAAAAAACGCGGGGATGAACACTTGTAACTGAAGCAACTTGACACAAATTACCAAAAAACGCGGTCAGACACTCAGATGTCAGACACTGTCGATCAGGTTCATCAACGCAATCCAACGTATAACAAATTTCACCAGAACGCGAGCCAATAATGAACGTCTTAACAATGTAATCAAGTCGACAAGCCATGGTAACAGCAATAAGTTTTCCGTCAAGAGAATAACTGATATCAATAAAAAAATCAAAGTAATTGTGACGTTTTGGGTGAACTGTCAACCTTTTTCGATGGGCTAATTTGAAATTTTCAGAATTGTCCGAAAGATTTAAAACGCGCCACACACAAAACAGCCCGTAACAATCACATATTGCAAATTCCCCACGGCCAAATGCAGGATTGTAGCAGCATTTTTCAACTTCTGAATAATAATCGTAAACACGAACGCGTTGTAGTACTTTTAAACTTTCAGCATCAAAATAGAACAGTTCGCCATCAGTGCTTCCTGCCAAAAGACGGCTGGCATCAGGAGACAGAGCCAAACAACTAAAGCCGTCAGCAAGATACTCCATCCGCAAATCTTAATAATCTTCAACACCACTTTCATTCCCACTTTCACGTCTTTCTTTTAACACTTGCTCGTCACGCTCATTTGCCCCAAGTGCCGCATCAAGAATAGGGCAACCTAATTGAATGCAATCAACTCCTTTAAATTCAACTTTAAGATCAATCCATTGGTCGGGTCCGCCTTTAGTAGATTCTTCTAAGTTCCACAAACCGGCTGGTAGTTTATACACGCGACTCAAAAACGATCCAAGTCATGGGGAAAATCAGGATTCAAAAGAATAGTGACGGCAATTCTCTTTCCATCTGGAAAGAACTTAATTTGAGAAATGCGAGCATGAAAACAGTTTATGCAATATACCGGTTTAGGTAACTTGCCGACCTCATTATTTGGGATGGCAAAAACAATCAAAGCAAAATTGATAATATAATATTTGTGACGATGATACACATCGAGTCCTGCACTTGCAGCGATTAACGAACCGTCCCAAGTGACGGCCCATTTTGTTTCAGGGTCAAAGGCCAACAAATAATTTTTCGAGTTCTTTTCAAATTTTATATCCATGAATTTCTTCACATCAGATTTAAAATCTTCACTTATAAGTCCTAGTGCATCGCTCCTGTAACTGTACAAGAAACTTTTCAAGGATGAAAAATAACACAAACAACGTATATCCATATTTGTTTCAATGTTGACGACATGTGATGGCAAAATATCGTCTAATTTCTAAATAAAAAAAGAGATGTTTTAATCTTAATGGGAAAAGCTCACCAGAAGTTCAATATTTCAAATATTTAGTGGTTTATACCTCGCGTATACATATCTCATATTCAGGAAAGTTCGTAGCTGACGAACGTTCCGATTTATCATCAGAGGAATCGGAAGACATCTCACAACTCGATCTGTATAAAATATTCCTATAGACTAACATACGAAAGAGTTGTGACAGAGGAAGTATAATTGCCTAGTGTCCACTATTTTTGTTTTGAAACCAGCAAATGTATGGCAAATATAGAGAATTGAATGGTAAAAAAACAAATTTTCTGTTTTGTTTTCTTATTCATGAATAAACGGCATTATGGTTTACTTCAAACTCGGAAATTCATGAAGCACGTTCTTAGATACCTGACGCTCGACATTTTAATCCCAACCATTTAACTGAAGCTAATTTTCTAGTGTTGTGGAGATGAAAGAAGTCAATAAGCGAAAACTTTTATTGCAAAGTATTCCTCCGTTTAACGATACGCCAGTCGGTCATTACACATTAAAATAAAAGCGTTTGAAATGGCAAATACTTTAAAATCCCATTTGTAAAATATTTTGTGGAAATTTCCAACGAAGAAGCGTTGTTTTTAAGTTATCCTGAAAATAAAATAAGCTATTGTGATGTATTGATTGTTTTGGCTTTGCTAATTCCCTTTAACATGATAAAAACAGCTAAAATTCACACTTACCGGAACAAAATTGTCAGAGCACATTTCAGTGAAGACGACATTAAACCACAATAACTGACTTTAACGACCACGAGGTCGAAATGGTCTGACGTCAGAGTCTCTTCTATCCACTAACATGTATCCCAGAAGTAAGCATTAATATTTAACAAGTCAATTTCCGGTGTAATCAAGGAAAATACCCTTACATTCACTGTAAGATTTAAAATAAGTAAGATTTAAAATTTATCTTATTTTTACAAAAACCACTCTATATTATCTTCTCAAAATAAATATAAATGAAACTGGTGCATTCAATGATAAGTTGACCCATTGTTTACATAATTTATGCAGGCTGTCACGTGTAGTAAAACAGACTTGTCACTTGGTATGCAATGAAATTCAAGTGTCTTTGTTAGTCCTGAATGACACCCATTCCCCCTCACTTTCTACGCCTATGTGAAAGTCAACACTTCAATGACTTTGTCAGCTGTAACGTAAGTGACAATATTCAGCAGAGTGACACATTTCCTTTGTTTTTTTTACTGAAATATGGCAAAGTCAAGACATTTTTTGTTGCTTAAAGTAAAAGTTTTCGTAACACTGTAATGGACTTTCTTTTCATTATCAATGTTTACATGCTTTTTTCTGGAACTGATATGTAAATTAGGGTGCGTATGTTTCTTCTTTTCCTAATTAACATATCTTAAAAGCATGTTTTATTTCGTTAATCCACTACAAACAGCGTGGGTTTTGTCATAACTTTTTTATAGTTATGTGAACTGATGAGCAGTGGCGTGTTGACAGGGGGCCATGGCCCCTCCGAGGAAGGATTATATAGGGGCGCCAAACGGCAAAATGGGCGCAAAATTTTTGGTTCATCCTGCATTTATAAACAGCTAAAAGCAATAAAACATGAAGCAGTAGAGTCACGTGAAACAGACCAAACGTCCATTCTGCAAAACATAGTGAACGCATATTTTATGTAATTATGTAATGACGTACATAACGTGCGTATATTATTTATCTAGATTTATGTAAGAGTATTAGAGAAAATAGCCAGTCCTACTTTTACACAAACCTGCTACTTAAACTAACGCATTTTACCTTAAAATTACGTAAGTATACTTAAATTTCCAGTACTTAATCAGTCTCACAATAACTGCACCAAGTTTAAGAAAACTATAAAAGCTTGCAAATAAATTGTACATAACAGAATACTCACAAATGGTGTAAATAATATCTTCGCTAATCGGTAAATATAATTCACAAGAACGAAATAGTGTTTCAGTTTATTTTCCTACTCTTGGACACAATATTAAAATATAATACAAAGCTAAAATCACTAATTGGAATGTAAAGACGTCCAATAGAAACCTTATTACTTGATCATTTTGATGTTTCGGATTATCTAATGAGACTAACAATAACTTTTTGTTCCCATTTTGATTTCTCACCGTATATTAATACTATAACAAGACAGAAATTAGAGTCCCTTATCAGGAACAAATACATATTTTTGCCTATCAGCTGGTGTGATTGGCGCCCTCTTTCGGCAACACTTTAACTTAGATCTTAACGCAACAGAAAACCCTAACTTTAACATTGGGTTTGCTGCTCGACGCCAACTTTGCGCCGGTGCTAAAGACGTCACCATGATGCTTCCCCCTCTCCGACATCTTAGGCTTCGTCAAAGACATTGACTCGGCTTTCTTAGGTGTAAAGTTTACTTTGAACCTTACTTGCGACACTGCTGAAAACACACTTCATAGAGCAAATGGGGTTGGTGCTGGAAAATTTAAGATAAATCATCTTTCGCTTTGAGTTCCTTACATCAGGCTTTCAATCGAAGTGCAGACTATGATAGAAAGCAAGTTGGTCGCTGGATACACACGCGTGCTGTATTTCGAGCAAAATCGTATCTACCAAAAACGATTTGGTCCTAATCAGATCATTTCATCGTGGCTAAAACAACAAACAGTTGTGAAGAGCTACCAACTCACATCTTTGTGGCTTTCCTGAAAAAGAGCTTCATGTTAATTACACAGCTGCTAACAGCAATTACAGCAGAGTCTACATGATGTTTCAAGACGCTGTAATGAAGTACAGCGATCCAGATACAGGCTCTCAAGTAAGCTTAAGAGACTTTGCAAGCCTGTTTCCTATTTATCATTTCGATGTAAGTCATCATGCCGATGTTTTGAGAAAAAAAGAGGCAAACATTACAATTCGTTGGACCTTGAACCAAGCTTTTCGTAGCGCGATTAATGCTGGTGGCAGCAATGAGTATAACATGTTCTGCTTATGTTATTAGTTAAAAATATTTTATAAGATTAATAAAATAAAAATTTTTTGACTGTTTGTATACGCAAATTGTTTTGCATGTGCACAAAAATGTCGGACATTAATAACGCAATATTTGTTAAAGCTCTCAGACCTGCCATGGAATGAGTAATCACTCTGGAATTTAAAGGCGCAGGTATTTTTCTTCCTTGGTCAAGAAGTATAGAAGGCGGTAGCTTTATTGGAAATCTTATTGGAAAACTCATACCTACGGTCACTAAACTCATACCAAAAAATGTTATCGTCTCTAGGCCTAGCAGCTATATCAGGTGCTATCACCGGCAGCACGCAAAAAGCAGTTGCTGGAAGTGGTGTAGTTAGGAAAGGAGGTGCAGCTGCTAAAGATGGTGGACGTAATAACTACACAGTTCACGGCGTTACACTTTCAACGACTCAGAAAAATAACCAGGCAAAGTCAGTCAGAGAAGGAACCGGAGTGACTATACGACTTACCAAAAAAGCACTTGACGGCCTTGACATGCCTATACTTACTAAGACGCAAATTAAGCGCATAATGGGTGCAAAACCCACAGAATCTTAGTTGGATCTAAAATTGTCTAAGAGTCAGATTACAGCCATGGTTTCATTTTATAAAGTACTAGCAATTTTTTCTGGCAATAGTCACCATCTTCTGTAATAAAAATAATCACTATGTGTACTTTACCTTGACAAAATACTAATGTCACTTAAGTTAGGTTCCTTCTCTTTGAGCAAATAATAATGTTCACTATTCTTAGCAACAATTTCTTTTGCAGAATCTAAAGAGGAACAAACAAAAATCAATTTATTATCTTACTAGAGAGGTTACTAAAAATTGACTTCTTTGTTTTTAGAATTAAAATCAATCTATTCAAAAAAAATCCTACCAATTTTAGGCTTTTTTGCAATGGGTTGATTTCTTAGATAGCAACTTCTGGTTTGATGTCGGTCAGCAAGGCTAAGTGCAACATCAGTGAAGTTTCCAAAGTATGAAGCCAATCTTTTAAAGTAACTGTGCTTTGCTTCATATTGCATGCACCAGTTCCGAATCATTGGTCCAAATCTCAAAAAATCAAGGACTCATGTTAGCTAGAGGGAAACCAATGATGTAATTTTTACATGCATTTTGAGTTACATACCATATTTTTATTTATAAACTAAGATACAAACTAGCAAAATCATACCTGTAAATATGAGTTGGGTAATGAACCAAGTAATGCATCTTGTGTATAACTGAAAGCCCAGGATAAAGTTGGGTGAAATTCCACAAAACTTCCTTCAGGTATCCTTCCAGGATAGCAAGTTCATCAGTGTTTGTGATTGGTGAAAAAACAATGTCAACAATTTTAAGGAGCAACAGAAAATGCATCCACTTTTCTTCATCCTGAGGAATGGCACTGCCGAAAGCTAAAGAAAGGAATTTTCCAAGGCACCACATTTGTCTTGCTATAAAAAGAAAAACCAATCATTTAAACCAAGGGTGATGGTATTAATGCTCGTGACAGTCACTACACCCTACCTTTTTGCTTTAAACTATTGTTTTCACTCCTCAAAGTCGTCCGGGTGATTGGTGATGGCTTGTTTTTATCATTAAAATATCCATAATCAAAAGAGTTAATTCTTTCATTAAGTTGCTTCACTGTTAAAATTTTTTCTTTAAATATGAAGTCCTTCAGCAATTCTTTACATACATACTGAAGTACTCCTTCTAGTATATCATCATTGCATCACCTGGCATGCCATCTGCTACATGAAAATTCCTAGAGTCGCAAAGAATTGATCTCCTGCAAAGCCCATATACTTTACTCAGTTCTGGGTTTTCTTCAATCAGTTCACATTGGCGGTCATGACCAGCACAAGTTCGAAGTGTAAAATGTTTTTTTAAAAACTGAAAGACTTACTTTAAAGTGTATGTTCCTGGTCTGCTAAAAACCATAATACAACATTTGATCTATGTTGAAACAGGTTAATAATGTATTATCATAAACATACATACCTTCTGCCTTATTTGTTCAGTGGTCCCCATGCATTGCCGGCGTTTCAAATGTGCACCTGGACCTTCTTTGAATCCACCCAAGATTGTCTCCAGAAACCAACAAAATAGTCCCAGAAAATGACATAGGTTCACCTTTAACAATGAGCTGGTGACTACCATCCTCAAAAAAGAAGTGTGACAGTTAATTTTAAGCAATTTTTATCAAACTACTTACTCTGCACAATTATCAATAACAGGTAATAAGCTAAAAAGCAATAAATAGGATCACTTACTTGTTCAAGGTATTCAAGGTCATTCATGAAAGGCTCCAAGAGAATGTCAATGCCATATTTTTTGATAATTGAAACTGTTGCCGTAAGGAGTAGGTGAATGTTAACACACTGGGATCAATATCGAGGATCAATATTTCTAATTGTGTAGTAAACAACTCCTGTCATACAGAAATAATGGCATATGATGTAATAAGAGCTTCTTATAGCCTTTCATTGCTCATACATTTGAGTGACTGATTTAGTCACTATTATGTCATTAAACTATTACGAAACTTATGATTTCCAGTTTTACTACCAAGGGCATTTGCAATTTCCAACTCATCATAGTAAAGCATGATTTGTAAAGCAGTTGAGTCCTTGGAAAACAGAGGATGGGTTTTGAAATACTGGCCATCACAAACATCCTCAATCACATCATCATGTTTCTGTTGCCGAAGATGACCATGGTTTAGCTGAAATTGAAATCGAAGAATGAATATATTAAATTTATTAATAAATTAAATTTATTATTAACCAGCAATGGAAAGGTCTGGTGGTAGGATGGGTGGCTTCCTACCATCAGACATTTCAAATTAAAATCAGACTATTTTCATATTTTCATAAAATAATTGGAATATATTTTTGGAAATGTGCTCTAATAAACGCATGTCATCATTGTTTTTGCTTTCATGGAAACTAACACAGTAAAACACACATAAAGTTCCTTTTATGGTTACACATAGAACATGTATTAATATTTTGCAACGCTGTTATTGATATGGGTACTTGCAAAGATGTAGTTGTCATAGTTTGATAAACTTGCCAACATAAAAAAAAACACAACCATGCTATTAACAATCTGACCTGTTCAAGTACTCCTTTTACATTGAGCATTTTTTCCAAGGATTTAAGCAGTGGTATGTACATGATTTCGTCATCTTTAATAACCTCTTTGTACACAGTCCTTGAACGTCTTTTCACAACTCTGTGTCCAAGTTTAATTCGTCTGGGTTGCTACAATTAAAATAATGATTATGCATAACAAGCACTAAAGAGCAGCTGGCTCAAATATGTTAAAAATCTCAAAAAACTTTATCCAAAAACTCTAAACATTCTAAAAAAAGTCAAAAAACATAGAAATAAAACTTACAACTAAGCCAAAATGCTCCTCAAAATAAGCATTCTGTTTATACTTTGTGGAAATATGTTTGAATGGATTTGAGATAGCATGTCCTTCATCAAATAATTCATCAAGACCTGGCACATCATTATAATTTAATCCAGCTTTCTCTAAGCAATTTTGCAAACCGTGTTTAATTGCTTTGACTGTTCCTTGGACAAGTTCAGTGGAATCTTCTAAAATGTTATCCACACATTTTGTGTGAGCAGATTGATTTCTTTTGTTTTAGAAGAAATTGGGCCTTTTTGTGTTCCATTGCTTGAACAGAGTCATCAAGTTCATTTTCCCTGTTGAATTCATCAATTAAGAGTTCAAGGCCATCCTCATCAGGACAAAAATTGTTGTGAGTGCTACTCGCTGATTCAACGCAACATAGATGACGTGAGTTTAAGTCAACATTGGCGTGCTTTCTTCTAAGATGACTTTTGTAAGAGTTAACCTAAACAACAAATCCGTGAACGCACTGAATAAGTAAATATTTTTAACAAATAACAAACAAATCAGTGTCGTATCAAGAATCAAAAGCTTACCTTAGCGAAGGTTGAATTACATTCCGGCACTTCGCAGATAATATGCAATCTGGCATCGTGTTCATGAACAGCGACCAAATGATGCAACATTCCAGCGACAGACGTTGAAAAAAACGTTGCACATACCTGACAACACAATCGTGGCATAATTAATTGAATTTTTACGAATATTCTTGCGTCACTAGTCAAGTGACAACTCCGTTACCGTTTGTTAGAGCAATGAATGAGTAAAATCAGATCAATATTAAGTGTCATTAAGTGCATTTCTTTGTCCAATTAGTTGCGAACTTGCGGCGATTGGTCGATTTGGTCACATGACATCCCATTACGCAAAGCGGCACGTGCCTGACTTCCTGTTGCCGATGTATGTAGTCGCGTGGCGTGTTTCTAAACTTCTTGTGCTTTGTTGAAGTGCATTTAAGCGTTTAAACTCTTCTAATGTGGGCAAAATGGACATCAACAAACAATCATCTGTCGCTGACATTATTCTTTTTTTGAAAAACAACAAATTGGATGAAATTGTCGAAGATTTTAAAGGTATTGTCTCATCCTGAAATGTAGGTCGCATGTGTGAGGGTTGTTGTCTAGTTCATAAATCTAGTGTAGAAAATAATTCAAAATTTGATTTATAGATGACTTGCCTTGTTTACGTTTTGCTAGCAGGCAAATTTGGTCGAGTGCTTTTAGAGCATACCAACAGCAATAACGTAATTTCATTGACGTTTTGCTTCTTATATTTTTAAAGCTAATCAAGTCGACGGCGAGGATTTTTTCAATTTAGAACCACATGATATTTATCAGATGATTCCTTGAATAAAACTTTACAAGAAGTTTACGTGTATTTGGAATGACGTTATTCAAAAGGTAAATTGAAGTCTTACAGGTTTTCTACATAAAATGGTTCAAAATACTTTAATTGCTTATAAACGGCTAGCTGATCTGCTGGCACAAAAGAGAAAGCTGCAATATTTCATCACGCTAGCGTGGATGCGTTGTAAACTGTCTTTCACACTGATTAGGTCAGCAATTACTGCGATACGAGGAAGTCGATCTGCCTCAACTCGCGAACATACTTTAAATATTGACCTAGGTTATTGGGAAAGTAGTCTTTACATTTGACTGTCCCTTTTATCATGGATATTTTTAAACACTGATTTTAGTCATATTTGATTTAGGTTTTTAACATTTATATTTGTAATAGATAATGATCATAATAAAATACGTTTTTTACTTTTTTCATACAACTATACATAATTTTATAATAGTATTGTTACTTTTTGAGAATCATTTATAAATTAGAAGTTACTGTTCAAAATACTTGGTTTGTTATTGGTTTGTTGATTAGATTTTTTACTGCCATGTGCTTTGATTGTGTCGTTATAAAATCACCAGAAGTAAAATTTCAGACTTCATCTATTAACAGGGGTCATCAGCTTCAACAACACACTCTTGTGTCACTTCCAACAACATAAGAACCATCAACAAGGATGTGAATCCAGACATTCTGAGTAATTCAGCTGATCATCAAGAAAATCATGATGAGGTATCAAGCAACCCAGCTTGACTTGTTTGTCTTGTAATTGTGTGGATCCAGATGAACCATTGCTCCTATTTTGCATGAAAGAGCTTAAAAGCATTTAGTCTGCTTACTATATATTGTTTTGTTCCTCTATGCTTTAGTTATGTTGTATTATGTTTGATGAAGAGTCACTATAAGTAGAATTTATGATTCAATCCTCTATTAACAGGGCTTGTCAGAATCAGCTTCAACAGTGCACTCGCACATCTATTCAAGCCACATAAGAACCATCAACTTGGATGTAAATCAAGACATTGTTCTTAGTACTTCAGCTGATCATCAAAATGATGAGGTATGAAGGCTGTAGCCATTATTTGTATACAATATTTGTTCGAATGCTAGTTCATAAATATACAATGTATGTAGTTCATAAATATTTTGCTGTGTTATTTCTTTACTTCTTTATGTTGTATGTTAAGGTTGAATTTTACTATTTTTTAAGAACATTCGACCAGAGAGACATCTCAAGGACAATGTTCCAATGAGTCCCTTGACAGCTAATGTGAAAAAGACAAAGCAAAAGAATGTCAGCAGTATCCTTGAAGAGCTGGAGGATTGTCCAGTTGAAGATGAGAAAGGTTGGTGAAAAAATCAATAAGTTAAAAACCCTATTTATACTGAAGTGTTAATGCTTTAGAGAGTAATAATGGTAATATATTCATTCTATGCTATGTTGATTATTTTAGAGGTCAAGAACTGGTGTATAATGGCATGTTTGCCTTATGTGTTAGATGACCAATGCACCCATCGAGATATGAACAAAAAATCATTTTGGGACATTGTTGATGTAAGAGTTGATATTGTCACAAATAATATTTTCTGCATAAATGTGTGAAAAAATTGATAAATAATTTTATCTCTGTTGAAGGGTAAAAGCTTGGGGGAAGTTCAAGAAATCATTAACAAAAGTTGTCTCCTAGACTTCTATCAACAGGAACATTAAGAAACATTCATTCAATAATGTTGATGGCTAAAGGGATGATTGTGGCAAAGCTGAAAACGGAAAATATTGTCAACGCAGTTATTATTTTACTCAGTTCTTTTTATACTTATAATGCTGAGTATCCTAAAGGCGTCAATTGACATTGCAAAAATGTATTTATTCTTTTAGAACATTTGCATTTAAATTCCAAATGCAATTGTAACGCTCAATTGCCAACTTTTGTGGATCATTTTATTTCTTCTATGAAGTAGAAAACATTTGTAGTGTTAATTAATGGCATGTAGTAGAGATTTTAAGTATTCTGTGTTTGCAAAAAATGTGCTATTTATAATTGTGTGATTGATTTTCTTTAGCTTAGTTAAAAGATCCTCTATATTGCTCAAATGGTCATGGATATGCACCTGAAAAAAATGCTTATTTAATGGTAAAAACAACCAAATAAAATTGGTCAAATAAATTGGTAAATTTAACCATTTTTGTTTTTGGTATTTTTGACCAATTTAGGAATTGGTTGTTTTGACCTATAAAAATTGTTCTTCTCAGGTGCATTCAAATGACCAATTTTTTTTGGTCATTTTGACCAATCTATTTTTACTGTGTAGAACATTGGATTCCAGGGTTAGAAAATTACTTGATCATAAAACTAAATGGCATTTTCAAATCTTGAAAAAGTTTGACGTAAAATAATATTAAATATATAATTTTATTTTGACTATGTTGATTAAATCTACTTCATTCAGTAGCTAAATAATTGCAGGCTACCAACATGTATGAATTGCGTGCCAATTTTTTTAAATGTATGCCATTGTATTTAATAAACGCAGTGTTTTGGGAGATGTACCCAAAAGCCAAGAAATGAAAAGAAACGTGAATATTCATGATAACTACGATAAATAATGTTATGACAAATGGCTTCACTTGGCCCCAAATGTGGACACTGTTTTTCCAAACCAAAACGAAATGGGAGGAAAACTGGCGGATCCGGTAAAAACCCTCCAAAAGAAAAATTTGAAGAATTGCTTCAAATTTTTGTAGTTTTATGATGTTTTATATTTTGTTGTTTTCAATGATCCCGATGATCTACTTTAACATGCAGCGTAGTCAGATCGTGCGTCTTATACAGTCGTATAAAAAATTTAAATTTACGGAGCAATAAAAATGTGGGCTGACTACCCTGTTGACACAGAAATATTTTTTGTTTAGAAACGCAAACTTTGTAGAGCACAAAAATGGTTAGTGCATAGTGTTAACAAAAAATTGTAATCAATAGACAAAAACGAAAACTAATAGCAGCCAATATTATTATTCAGTACGTAGGGACCTGACCATTCACCTGCCCATAACAATTAAAAATGAAATGACTAAAGAGACGTTATGACTTGCATAAAAATAATTTTGATGTCTGCTAGACTTTATTCCATTGAAATTTTCTATGTTGCCTCATTAATTAATAGCTGGCTTTCACTCGTGTGTTTTGTCAGAAAATTTAACAATTGTGAACATTTAGTTATACGGAAATTTTTAACGGTCGAATTTGAAAATGCGTTATACTGATAGACATTATGGATAAATAAATTAGCAAGTGTGCATCTTATAATAACGACGCTTGTTTCTTGGTGTTTCTGCCCGACTTCGTCGTTCATTCATTGTCCAGTTAGAAGGCCTACAGACATAGCTACTCTATAAAAAACACGTTAAAAATGTCAGCATAATGAAGGAATAATAACAGAAATTAATTATATTGAAAAGAACAAAACTTTAATACCTGATTTCCATTCGTTGTCCTGGTCAGTCTGATCCAGGCGACTTGATCGGTCTCTTCCTTTTTTTTCACCGTGTAGTTTTTACGTTGTATTGTTGAAATTAATTGTAAAATTTTTAACTTAGTAATTCAATGAACCCTACTTGCATCATTGCAATTTTCTTGACAAACGTTCAATAAAATTACCAAAAAGTAGCAAGTGAAAGCCAGCTATTTTCTCACAGCAAGTGACATCTTTTAGTGACACTTTTTTAAGTTGGGTGTTTTTCATGGTTAAATTTCATTATATAAAGATAGACCATCAGGATCCTTTTTTACTATCTCATGCAGTTACTCATACAAGTTAATTTTAACACTTACATATACTCAACTTACAAACCACAAGATATAGATCGTGTTTTTCCACTCGCTTGTTTTCCATCTTCGTAGAATGCAGTCCATTTTTATAGCGCAATCACTTCAATTTAAATGTTCATACGTACATATGCCGTTATGCGATGTCCATTCAACATGTCGATACCATTCCATACACGAAGTAAGAGCTTCATCAACCAATAAAGTAACTACTGATATGATGGATCGCCATTTTGATAGACTACAATTCACAACGCACTGTTATGGTAACTTCAAGCGAAGGAAAAGGGACCGCCATTCAATACCCTAGTCTTATCATTACTCAAAGAATGCTTAGTGCAGAGTTGATCTTCTTTGAGTATCAGTTGACCACCTTTAGGTGGGTTCATATAACAATGGGGCCCATCATCATTATATGAACAAACAACTGACATCAACAAAGAATCCAAACTACAAATGAACATTCTTGGCCATGAATCACCATGACACATGAGTAGTGACAAACTAGTAAGAGTAATTGAAGTGAATGACACAGGTGGTAAAGGAACTTTCACAACTCCATTCATGTGGGATCTACAATATAAGAAAATATGAAACACATGTATGAGATTTCATGATGAATATTTCTGCATATGACGTTAGTTTGCGTTTTAAATTCTTAATCAGATATATTGAGAATGAGCAAATTGTTATACGTTTTCTGTTTCACTATTCAAACGGTAGAACATTCACCTTCATTGCACGAATAGCTTTAGTTAGTTGAGTTTGAACGATGTAACTAGTTTCACACGATCAAAGGCTTATAATCGTGATGAAAGCATTTCACAGTGAAAGCTTTCAGATTACGAGGCCTACACTAAGACCAGTTCATTATTTCATGTAACTCATACTTCAATATTCGTCAGTAAAAAGACAGAATTTGCCTTTCTTCCTACAACGTTAAAGTGAGTAATATTCTGTTGAAGTAAAACACACGAATTTAAACATGTTAACGTTTCTTTAATTGACGTCATAACTAAAATTATTATTGTGATTGGCTCCTCAGGAGCATGTCACCTTTCTCAAAGACAACAAGTAATCCTTCAATGCGTTTTTAAGGCCTGTTTCAAACATCGCATTTTACATGTGCCCAATGTATTTAAGACAAAAAAATAATAAGGAATTTTACCTCATTATCTTTTGTTTTAAATGCATTCGGCACATGTAAAATGCAATGACAAAACGTGGAATATTGTCTTTAATGAGTGACATGAAACCAATCACAATAGTTATGACGTCAATAAACTTTAATTTATTCAACAGAAAATTCAAATGACGACCGCTAAGGTTGTTGAAAGTTAAATATTCGCTGTGCAAATTATTTACCATCCAGTCATAGTGGACTTTGCTCTAAGAAACTTGACAATTTACAAGGTGTAAATACTGTGAAATCAACTCTAAAATCTCGCAAAAAACGTTTCCTCAATGACGAATGAACGAAAACAGTCAGTTTCAATTTCGCTTTGGAAATGGGCTCTTGGTAGATAAATGAAAAATGTGCCACAGGAAAACAAATAGTAAAATATCTTCGCAAAGTGAAAGTTTTAATGAGAAAAACATGTTATTTTATCATTATGAAAATGTTATCTATGTTCTTTTCACATGTTTTCCTTGACTTTGAAAAATGTTCAAAAAACAATAATTTCGCATCATTCCCATACGTCCACAGGATTACCCCCTTTTGGGAATGTTTTGGCAGGGTAACTACTATTTTGATCGGGCAATGCCTATGGGTTGCGCATCGTCCTGCCGCACTTTTGAAATGTTTAGCACTGCACTAGAATGGATCGCTAAAACCCATTTGAGCATTGAACATATTATTCATATTCTTGATGATTATCTCCTTGCTGACCCTTCATTCGACCAGTGTTGCGTTGCATTACAAAAGTTTACATCTTTTGTGCTCATGTCGGTGTACCAATAGCTCCAGAAAAAACGTTTGGTCCTGTAAATATCCTCACTTTTGCTGGCATTGAGCTCAATACGCATGCTATGGAAGCCAGTCTACCAGAGGACAAAATCCTGAAAACAGGCACGCTTCTCGGAGAATTTCTCAAAAGGAAAAAGGCCACGTTAAAAGAAATCCAGTCGTTGATTGGCTTGTTGAACTTTGCATACATGGTCGTCTTACCAGGCAGAGCATTTCTTCGTCGGCTGATTGACATCACCAAGGTAGTTAGGGTAAATCATTACTACATTCGTTTGACAAGGTCTGTAAAAGCAGATTTGAGTCTTTGGAAATCTTTTATCGATGATTTTAACGGTCGGTCATTTTTTCTTTCCGACTATTGGCTTCCATCTAATGTTTTGAATTTGTACACAGACGCTTCTGCAGGCTTTGGCTTTGGAGCCATTTTCGGTAAATTTTGGTGTTACAAGGCCTGGCCTGAGCACTGGAAAAAATTAAACATCGTTATTTTGGAATTTTACCCAAGTGTTCTAAGCGTATTGTTATCGGGTGACCTTTTGCGTGATCAACGCGTATTATTTCACACAGACAACGCAGCATTGGTCGAAATTATAAATAGATCTACCTCTCGGGACCCAACAGTGATGATATTTGTTCGTCGCCTGGTGCTAGCTTGCTTAAAATTAAAAATTTTGTTCCGTGCCAAACATATCCCAGGTGTGTATAACCATCTAGCTGATGCCTTGTCGCGTTTTCAGGTTTTAAAATTCAAAGAGCTACCCCCCGCGAACGTTTACACTTTGCCGTCGGTTGTTCCCGAACATCTACTACCGCACAATTGGAAGCTGTAACTTTCATTTTACTACGATCTAGTTTGCAGCCATTCTTAAGTCCCCACTTATAGTCGTGCTTGGAAATTATTCCAACAATTTTTGCACAAGGCTCTTCAAAGAGCTTTAGTTTCACTTCCCATTTCACCGACAGACCTCAGTTTATTTATTGCGTTCTTGTTCAAACGCAAGTATGCGCCTTCTACGGTGCTTACATATGTGTCTGCGCTTGGGTACTGTCATCGACTGGCGGATTACCCTGACCCTAGTAGAGCTTTTTCGATTGTTCAGATTTTAAAAGGCTATAAAAAGATAGGAACTCGAATTGATTCTCGGTTGCCAATTACTATGCCCTTACTTCGCAGTATTCTGCGGAATATAGCAACATTAACTTCCACTGTGTATGACAAGAGGCTTTTTCAAGCCATGTGCACCACTGCATTTTTTGCCTTTTTACGTATAGGTGAGATTACAACTTGTCATAAGTCACCTTCAGTTATCAATATTAACCAGGTAGTTATGGTGGTCGAAGCAACTAATAAAACAATCAAAATTAAGATAACATTAAATGACCTCAAACATTCGTATAACGAACGACCTGCCGCTCTGACGTTATTGCGTCGTTCAGATATCTGTCCGCTTCAAAGATTGCTGGATTACTTTTCTGTTCGAGATTCTTCTAATGGACCGTTGTTTCAACTAAGTTCAGGTAACCCTGTCCCACGAACTTTATTTACCATTTTCTTAGCTTCAGTGTTTAGAGCGTGTGGTCCGGATTCATCCAAATACAAAGGGCATAGTTTTCGGATCGGAGCAGCTACGTTTGCAGCAGAGTGGGGTTTTTCTGATGAAAAGATTCGTGCGATGGGTCGTTGGC